TTCCTTGTATACGATTCTTAGTACCCAGACTGAATTTGTTCCTTAATTGACTCCACTTGATTGTCAATATTCATCTTCACGAGACAGATAGAGATCGGAATTGGATCTATGCGTTATGAAGTGTTCTGCTTTATTGTTACCCAATAAAAGAAAAGGGAATGAAATGAAAAAGTGTTGTTTCTCTTACACTGTAAGGAAGATGTTTTCTGAAAATAGGTTTATCTAATTTTGAATTTCCATAAAATGGAATCACCTTTTTAGTACATACTTTTTTCTGCATGCATTTACGTATCTTTTATACTTTCTAGTGTACATATTATTCTAATTTTTTGTATCAATTAAATTAATTTTTTTAATTAGCTATGCAATCAACGGTTTCTATATTTTTCTTAATAAATGCTCAAATTTCTTCTGTTAGCATTATGTCATAATGATATATTTACAAATTATTGTTAAAATGATATTCTATTATTTTTTTAAAAAATATTAACGCCTTAATTTTCATATCGTTTTATTAGTTCTATCGATCTTTGCCAAATATTTTCATAACAGTTTATCTGTATTTATATATATCGCAATTTTAATTTGTTTCAAATATTTGTTATTTTAAAAATAAAAAACATCAATTAGTTTTAAATAACATTCATATTTTTTTTGTATATCATCTGAATACTTAAATAGATTAATAGTTTCACTTTAACTTTTTAATAAGAGTGTTTTAGTTAAATAAAGCTCTTGATATAAACAAATAATTTTTTTATAGTAACTAAATAATTGTTTATAACGAATAAAATCATTTATCATAATAATGTGTAATTAATATATTTAAAAAAATAAGTACTATTTCATGTTTTTTAAATGAGTATTATTTTTTATTTGAATACTAAGAAATAAAACTCTTTTTACATGTATTAATTTAAAAAAATATACTTTATTATAAATTGTGTTAATTAAAATATTTTTTATTTATAAATAATTGTATTCATTTAATATGTAACACATAAATTTGATTATTTAATATTATAAATATTTTAAAATACATAAAATTATAATTATAATTATTTTTTATTAATCTTAATATATTAATTTATAAATAGCATAGATAAAAGACAGAGAATACGAGACACGAGAAAGGACTGAGGGGGATCGAGACGCTAGTGTGCAGTTCAGAAATGTTTTAGGGTTGGGTTATTAATTTGAACTGTTTATCATTAATATTTTATTTTTAATATAATAATTTGGATGAGTCAGGTTCTAAACTCGAAAGTGGGTACCCAACTCGAAATAGATTGACCTCCTATTTTTAAAACCGAATAAAATCAACTTTTTTAATAATTCGGACCGAGTCGGTTGAATTGATCCAGTTGGTCGGAACTGTGATTATTCCTTCTTTCACCACTTATAACTTAAGCATAAATTTAAATTTTAGGACAATTTTTTCATTTATTTCTTCAATGTTTTGCTTGCTACGTCAAAACTTTAGAGTATGTTTATTTTTCATGTTCTTAATATTCATTTTTTATCTTTAATTTAAATATGTTCACATCGTAATTTAATTTAAGATCCCAATCATATATCCAAACAAAACTACCGGAAAACCATGGCAAAGTTTGTTGATTATAAAAACCACCGATAATTGTTATGCCGCACACACATATTGGTTGTATTACCTTTATAAGGTAGCCACAACTGGATCAAGAATTCAAATAAAATTATTTTATTTAGAACTAAATTAATATAATTTTATAATTTCATATATGTTGGTCAAAACGACACATTAAAAAGTAATTTTCATCTCATTATTAATAAAGAAAAACTCGTCTATTTTCTTAAGCCAACAACTTTCGTCGGGGTCATATTAGTGTAATTCTCATGGTGACAGAGATAAGGAATTGGAGCTGTTAGTGAGTGGGTAGTGAAATTCAGTGACGGGTGCGCACCGAATTGTGTTCCATAAGACCGTGACAGCATTGCCCCGTCATTTCACTTTTCTTTCAAGATTACATTCACAGGCGCCGTCTTTCCAAATATAAAACGTCACACTATATATGCCTTCAATGTTCCACGTATTCACCGTTTTACCATTTCCACAACCGCTTTTGCTGCTTTTCTTTTACCACAATATTTTATTCTAAAGAAATTCAAGAGTGTTTTAATAAATATATTTTTATCATTTATGTATAAAATTTTCAGAAACGTTGAGCAAAATAAATAAATTGGTTTATTTAATGAAACTAAAAGAAATATTTAATATAAAAATAAATATTTGATAAATAAGTTTATCTTCCTAGCTTTTAATATATTCTTAAAACATTAATCTTTTAAAAAAGTATAAGTAAACATATTATTTTTAATTTTATCCTTATAATCTTATTGAAAACAATTTTTCATCCTTTATAATTTTAGAAACCTTAACACATTCTGTCACTCTCAAATTCAAGGTAACAATGTTAATATGACTTATTAGTATAATCTATTGTTTAAAATTTTAACTTAAATTCTACAAAATATTTTGTTAATGTAGAATTTTTATTTTTTATAAATTACTATTTTTAGTCTATTTAATTGACATAATTTATTTAAATAATATTAAGTATTAACTTTTAGTTAAATCACATAAACTAAATGAACTGAAAAAATTTATTATCATAATAAAATATTTTATAAGAATTAATTTTAATCTGTATAACTTTTGTTATTAATCATCACACATTTAATTAAGTTTTTTTTTTATTTGTAATAAAACCTTAAACCTTTGTTGATAATTTTTTTTAATTTATTTAAAGATCAAAATATTTTATGGGAGTATTCCACAAAATTTAAAACTGGTATAATGTAATTTTTATTGTTAAAAAAATATAAAACGCAAACGAATCAAACAATTATCACATCATCCATTGTTTTATTTATTTTTATTACTTTTTAAAGTAAGAATTCCCTCAATTCTATAAGCTTATCAAAATTATATTTTCAATTTATTTATATTATTTTATTTAATAGTTAAGATAGTTATCTTAAAAATTTGCATGTCAAATTATTTAAAATAAATTAAAATATAAAAAATATAATTATTTAAAAATACATATAGTTGTCAAGTTTAAAAATGTAATTGGCTGGAATTAATTATGACATTAGACAACTATTTCAACCAAATACTATATGATGTTATGCCGGAAGATTTTAATTGCTTAATGTGCATTAACAATAGATAGGTTTAATTATTTAAAGTAAGTATTTTATTTTAATTTTTTATATTTAATAAATATGATAAAGTTTTTATATGTATAAAATTTTAAAATAAAGAATATACATAATTAAAATGAAATAAAATACATTTATTATATTTTATAAATTTTTATTAGTTTTATAAAAATGAATAATATGTTGTATCAATGAGATTTTAACGTGAGATAATTAATTTAAATATTTAAGATATTTAATTTTTAGTTAAATAAGTTTTTAATGTATATTTAATGTTACAAGTTTTACAAATTATAAGATTTAATATTATTAATATATTAAATTTAATGATATTGTAAAATTTATAATAAAAAATTTAATAAATATAGATTTTTATTGTGCATCTTTTGTGATACACTGTAAAAAAAGTCTAAAATTTTAAAATTAATTAATGCTCCTTTGTCTTTTCTTCTTCTTCTTTTTATAATAGAATTTTTAAAAATTTTTGCTAATCTTTAATTTAAGAGAGTTCACAAAAATTTATGAATATTTATTTTTATATATTTTTTATTTTTGAAAATTTTTAATGTATTAATGATTAATATTGTAATAAATTTTAAATTTAATTAAAATAAATTTAAAATATTGTAATTAGTTTTTTAAAATTTTACACATTAATTTTTTAATTTGGATAAAAAAATTTGTACAAAGAAATAAAAATCATGCATAAAAAATATTAACAATACACACTTTAATTTATTTTTTAAAATATATATATTATTAAAACTTATCAAAAACTATACTAATTTTACTTTTAATTTAATAATTTTATTTATTTCATGTATAATTTTTAATAAAATTTAATTAATAAATCAAATTATGATAAAGAATGTAGTATACTCCTCTGATAGATAATTAATATATGAGGTGTAAGGTGTAAAACTGGAAGAAGTGTGGCGTAAGTAAACCATAAACCATTAGCGCTCCAGTATTTGTTAGTTCGCTTATTCCTTCTTATTTATTAAATTAATTTATAAATAAACAAAATTTATGTATAATTTTTAAAATATTTAGTATTATTTATTAATTTAAAAAATAATTTATAATAATAGTAAATATAAATATTTTGTTAAATTAATTTTTTTTATAAATACCTTTTGCACAAGATAATCAGTTTGAATTAAATAGAATTATTATAGATAATATTTAAAAAGTTGAATTTATTAATACAAAATTTAATTTAATTAATAAATAATACTAAAAACATTGAAAAAAATATACTTAAAATGTTTTATTTATAATAAAAGTAAAGATTAATGACCACCAAACACGAACTAGCGTAAATTAATTTTATGTTAACACAGTATACAGTGGTCCTATCGAGTATCTATGGACTAAAAAAATTAAAGATTAATCAAGTAGCTAGGCTTTGATAATTTGCTATCATTGAAATCACAATTTATTTTAAAAAAATATTAAGCACTTTAAAAAAGCGCACTAATTTAAGTAACTACCCTAAAAATATAATGGATGTTATAAAAATGAGAATTGTAATACGGAATAATTTTATACTAGAGAGAAAAAAAGTAATATTTTGTGTGTTTGGAATTATCAAGTAATCTAAGAACAGACAAATAGTATCTGGTCCTGTGATGCCCGTTGATGTGTTCCTGTACTCTCTTATTGGTTGAAGATACTGCAAAGACAAATAGTAATATTTCTTTCTTTCTTTCTCTCTCTCTTTCCTCTTCCACCTTCTCTCTCTTTTTCATTCACAAGATCTCCTTGCTCTTCCTCTTCTTTCAAAAAGCTAACTAATCAATCTGAAGCTGCACTAACTCATCTTTTTTTTTTTTTTACTATCTCCACGCTCAAATATCTGCTTGTCCTTTTCACTGCTTCTGTGTTTATCTGTTCTGCTTCTGCACAACACCGACCCTTCAACCCTTCCCTTTATATCTCTCTTTGAATTTTGTGCAACCAAGTTTTTCTTTTCTTCTCTTTTTCATTCCTTTTTTCTTCTTCCTTTTTTTATCTCTCCATAATGATTCTCTAGCTTCTGATACCACTTATCTTTCAAGAAACAGAGTGAATCACAACAATGGATTCAAATTCCGGTTATCAACAACCCAGTTCTGGGTTACTTCGCTTTCGCTCTGCCCCTGCTCCAGTACTCGCGAATTTCAAACAAGGGGAAGGTGTTGCTCCCAATAATGGAACCTCATGGGAAGGTTCTGAACCGGGTTTGAGATTTTTCAATTCCGGTGACGGCAACAATACAGCGTCGCTTAGCTTACGAGAATTCGTGGATAATAATAAGCCTTCTAATGATAATAAAGCACACAACGAGTCATCTATATCATCACCTTTGAGTCGCATGAATTCTCAGCAGTGTTATACATACAGTACTTCTTCTGTTTTACCTCTGAGGCATAACTCTAGTGTTAGTTCGTCGATGATGATGGGTTCTATGGGAACGGAGCAAGTCAAAACCTTCAATTCTCATCTTCTCAGGCAGAGTAGTTTTCCTGCCGGTCATTTTTTTAACAACATCGCCTTTCAGAATGGTACTGTACTTGTTCTGTTTTGCTACTTTTTATGCTGTTTTCGTTCAATAATTTCTTTTGACCACTTTTTAAGCAATTTTAAAGTTTTTTGGATGTTCGTGTTTTTTTTGGTACCATGTGGAATATGTTTTGTGCTGAGTGAAGTTAAATTTTTAGATGGTAGTTGCTAGACTGAATTCAATTGTAATTGCTTGATCTGGTTTTGAGATTAGACAAAGATGCTATGCTGAAAGAGGTTAGGTGTGAAGTTGTTTATGACTCTTAATTTGGCATCTTAACATTTTGGAAGAGTGGATATTTATAATGTTTTTATCCGATTTATGATTGATTAGAATTTGATGACCCGAATTTAGTATACAAGGGAGGTAGATGAAAATTGAAACCTTTTGAACACTTCATGGGGTGAAATTTACCCATGTTTGGTATTTGTGGTATTCAGCTCTAAACTTATGTTTTTCGTACATTTATTTAAGTAGTAGCTTCAATTTCAGGATATATAAACTTTGGGTTGTTTCATATAAAGAAGAATTTCTTCATTTATAGTGGTTACTGAGAAGATATGTATATTTTTGTAAATTGTAGGATATGATACTATGAAAGGTGTTGGAAGCTATGGTGGGGTGAATGAGAGTGATGATGAACTTAGTCTATCAATGAACAGAATGAAGAATCAAATTAGCTTCTCTTCAATGTTATCACAGACATCCAAAATGGGGAATGAGGGAATTGGAGCAACTAACACTGATGAAGGGAGACCGGGGTGTAGCAATGGTGATGCTCGATATTATGGCACAGGATTCCCTTATACTTCTTGGAATGAGACATCACACCTCTCAGATAAATTCGTTGGCTCGAAAAGACAGCGAAATAGTAATGATGAGTTACTTTCTGATGTACAGGTATATAGCATGTTTCATTTTCTTGTGTAGTTCAAGTTTAATTTATGGTTCTTAATATAAATATAACCTGTTATACTCAGAATGGAGAGCTAGGAAATCAAGTGCATACGCTATCGCATCACTTGAGTTTGCCAAGCGCATCATCAGAGATCTTTTCTATGGAAAAAATGCTTCAGTTCCCAGATTCTGTTCCTTGTAAAATCAGAGCAAAGAGAGGCTTTGCTACTCATCCTCGAAGCATTGCCGAAAGGGTAAGGATAGACATGTAGTTCTTTAACAAATATTTGGTATAGTGAAGTTGCAATAATGAAAGTGGAATACTATAATACTAGGTCCTTTCTTTTGCCAAAAACTATGAGAAATAGAAGTAATTATATGAACTCATGAACTGATTTGTAATTTGTATTAGATTATTCTGAGAAGTAAATGTTTTCAGGTGAGAAGAACTAGAATCAGTGAACGAATAAGAAAATTGCAAGAGCTTGTTCCAAACATGGAGAAGGTCAGATTCATCACACAAGTTGATTTGCCAGTGGTATAATAGTGTATTGTGTATCTGGAATGCTAACATTCTCAACTTATTGGCAGCAAACCAGCACAGCAGACATGTTGGACTTGGCTGTAGAGTACATAAAAGATCTTCAGAAACAATTCAAGGTATTAAAAAAAGGAGAAGATGAATTAGATAATCCAAATGCTCATAAGCATAGCCTAGCAATTAATTAATGACTCTTCCGTGCATGCACTAACTTTTTCAATAACTTTCTGCAGACTCTGGGTGAAAAACGAGCAAAATGCAAATGTGTAAACATGAAAAAGTCAGAAACAGATCAAATTACTTGATTTTCTTTTGTACAGGTGTATATGCAAGCATGGATAGGACCTCGGGTCTTATATTTTCAAGTGATGAAAAATAAGTAGGGAAAAAAAGCTAATATAAGATGCTGTTGTCTTCATTGTGTGTAACAAAGCAGAAAGGCAGTTTTTATCTCTTCGCCACAACATTGTGGCATTTTAAGTTAACGAGGGTATCAACCGCGTAGACAATAAAGCAAATAGTTTAATTTGTAGTTTTGTATACAAGAATTCTAATGTATTCATTTTGACATTATTCTTTTTTCCTCCCTATAGTTATGAAAGATTTCGCACAGAATTTGGATGAGGAATGATGGTCGCTTCTCAATTCTCATTGAATTGATGCATTATCAATGAGAATGAATGTATGAAAGGATTGTGCATGACAATTCATGGAGAGCATTTTAACTTACTTGCATGCTTGGGATGATAGATTCTTGCACATAGATAACTGGAAAAGATTACAGAATCTAACGTATAAGTTTTTAGCAAATTGTTTTTAAACTGCTAAATTGATTTGAAAAATAAGATAAAATAAGTTTATATTATTTTTTGATTCGATTTTCAGTTTTTTTAAATTGAATTGAATTAAACTATTTAAAATAAATTTATATTATTTTTATATTCATAATATCGTGATGTTGTATGAATATATATTCTCTTTCATCTTCTTTATTAATAATTTATCATTTTTATATTTATATTTTTAAATTATTATTTTTCTTTATTTTTTAATTTTCAACAGATTCATTTCAATTATTAAATTACTAGTTACTATAATTTTAAAAATAAAATAATGTAATAATAAATAAAAATTGAAAGAACTTATTCACACCAAATTAATTTTTTATTTTCCGAAAATTAAAATAATTTTTAAGTAAAAATAAATATGAACTAATGTCAAAACTGATAACCATCTCCGTGTCCGTGGCTTTATCGCATTCTAACTGACAACACCGGTTTATAACATAGTAAGTGTATTGCATTCCATTTTGGCGGCTATTTGCTTCGTACTTGTTTTCAAGTTGCATTTTAATATACATGGCCTGGAAATAGAATATATGGTGTATTAGGTAAATTACGTGACATGTAGTTGAAATTATTATATAAAATTAATTACCATTCTAAGTAATTATGGCGGTCAGATTGCAAATTTTCTTTTATAAACCTCTTGACCCAATGTAAATGACTTGACTTTAATGAACTCATAAAAATAAATAAATCTGGGGCACACAGGTTATCCACGTACACTGCAATAATAAGACAAATAGCTTATATTATTTTTTAATATATATTTTTGTTATTGGAGTTTTAAATAAATAAAGTATACAGATATATTTACTAATACCAAGTAAGTAGTTGGCGGAGGCTATTTTAAATTAATTGTTACTCGTGATAGTGTGGATAACCTCGAGTTTGCTCGACTCCAATTATTCAGAAGTAGTTTTAGGTAGTTTTAGACTTTTTTTTTTTAACTTTAAATAACTTCTTTTAAATAGTTATAAAGCTTCAAAAAAATATCACGTCATCATTTAGTTAAAAACTTGATAATGAAAAATACAAGAAACTGAAGTTACGTATAAAAGAAGTCCATTTCTATATATTTGAGTTTTGTTTTTTCAAATATGCCAGTCTTATTTCATGAACCTCTATACCAAACTAGATAAAATAAATCACTTAAAAAAATTGATCAGCATCCAAATCAGTCTATTAATATCAAGCATAATAGAATATTTATAGATTGTTTTGTAACTTCTGTAAATTTTCTTTTATGAATCCTTGACCCAACGTAAATGACTTGAATTTAATGAACTTCAAAGATTGACATAAAATAATCCAAGAACACCGTGAAAATGTTGCCAAAAAAGGAAAGAAGCACACCTCAATAATAAGAAAAAGTTTAAAACTTATATATATATATATATATATATATATATATATATAATTATTTGTCATTAAAATTTTAAACAGGCAATAATACGTAGATATGTTTCCAAATACCAATGGCAGAGGCTATTCTAAGTAAAGGTTGGTAATGGTATTAATTTTACTTAACTCAATTCAAAATAGTCACATACCTCGTGTCATCTAATTGATGGTAGTTTTCAATAATAAAAAATGATTATATTTTCTATTAGTTAACATTCTCATTAAAATGCATGTGCTAAATTTTTAAATAAAATATCACATGGCATCATTTTGTTAAAAAATTGAAAATAAAAATATAAGAACCAATCTAATTTTTTTAAATGTGTTTTAAATATAATTTTTTATATATTTATATTTTTTTGGTAACTTATTTTATAAGCTTATGTATTAAATTAAGTAAAATAATATGTTAACTAGTGTGAAGTTATTTTAATTTAACAAGAAATTTAAAATTTAAATCTTTACACATTCAATCGTGTTAAATATTTAAAAGGAAAACATTGTTAGTTATAATCTCCTACTAGGGTTCAACAAGAATCTAAAATCTAACTTATTTAAAATTTAGTTTAACTCAACTTATTTAAGTAATAAATTAAATTTAAAATTTTTAAAAAATTTAATTAATTAAATAGGTATTGATCTTAAGAAAAAAGTCTATTAAACCTAATAAATTGACCTATTTAAAATTTACTAATTTTATAATAATATATAAATTACTTTTTACATTTATACTATTATAATAAATAAAATATATTTTTAAACAAATAAACCTTTTTAAATGTAAGTAAATTTAAATAGTTTAATAACCTATTTATAAAACAATTTAATAATTTATTAAGTATTTTAATATAAAATATATCATTAAAAAGATTAATAAGTCAAGTCATTCTCTTAAATAAAAAATCTATAATACATAATAAATTAAACTTAAATTTCAAAATTATTATACCTACTTATATAAAGTTTAACTTAACATAGCTTACTTTCATCCTTACATTTTATTAAGTTCTAGTATACATGTCGTTTGTCTATGATTTAGTAGTAAAGAAATAAAAGCTTCACTTTAACTAGTTATCTTTTGAAAAATTCTTTAGTTTTTATTTAATACTAAACTTTGGTAATTTTACATTAACTATCATAAAATATTTGTCAATTACCATTAAAACAACTATTTACAAAAAAAGTTAATTAAAGTTTTATATATTTGAAACCTTTATTTTAAATTTATATTTTTGTTGTTAGCTAGATAATTTCCTATCAATTGAGTGAGAAATTTCCATAATAATTTTTTAAATATATGTTATTTACACTATTTTGTATTTTTAAGTACTTGTATACTGCAAAACAATACTTATTAACTAGTTAATACTTAGATGATGCACCAAGTTACTTATATTTTACATGGAAAATTACAAAAGTTAGATTCAATGAATAAACATGTTATGTATATGAAATTAATAGTTTAAATAAATACGTAGAAAAAGATATTTGATCAAAACTATTTTAGAGTAAACAAATTAATTTAAATATATTGTAATCTTATTAAATGTAATATGAAGATTAATTTTTAAATTTCATGACTATATGGCACAATTTCTTGTAATGTATTACTTATTGTTTTCAGGTTTTAGCTCAGTCTCCGTAGTTTATTACTATATTATAAATTTTAATCCTAAGTCTAAATAGTAATCTGGTTAGTGAATTTCAATACCTTAACTAATACAATTGTTAGATTACACCTCTTCTCTCTTTTTTATAGTGGCTTTACCCATAATGGATGAGATTGAGACTTTTAATAAATTATTTAATTTAATTTAATTGTTAAATTTAAATTATTTTATTTTAATAATTCTTTATATTTAGGATTTAAATTCAAATATTAATTTCCTTATAAGTGTATTTATTTTAAATTTAAACTAATTATTCTTTGATATTACCTATGTCCAAATTAGATGCCTTGATTGCTTTAAATTTATTACATGTAAGTATATTTATTAAATACATGTAAGTATATTTATGTTACATGCATTTACAAAATTCCATAAAATACACAATATATTCCTTTATTTATCAAGAAATCTTGTAATTTTTGTATTTTGTATTTTTATCAAAAGCAAAATGCTGCCTAAATATTTTAAGGAGTGTCTATAATTAATAAGATATAATAATAAATAAGAGAAAAACGATATATAGATATGATAAATAATATGATATAAAAAAAAAAAAAGAGATGAGAGACATGAAAGTGATCCTATAATGTTAGGTTATTTTGTGATTGACACCAAATATTTAATTTCAAATAAATATATATGTGAATATCCTGATTTTATTCAGGTTTTGTCTAAATAATTTTTTTTTAAAAAATTATGTGGAGTTAAGATTTAAGATTATGAATTTAAAATTTTAAAAAATAAATAAAGAATAGATAAAATTTTAAATTTTAAATCTATACAAAATTAAGATTTTAAATTTTAAATTAAAATAATTAGATATTTTAGGTACCAGATAAATAGGTTAGTAAAGATAAAATCAATAAGAAATGATAAATTTTTAAGAAAAGTGAATAAAATAGCTATAACTGAAAAAGAGTTTCTTAAAAATCTACCATTTTCCAACGGTTTTATTTTCATTAAAATCAAAATATTAATTTATTTAAAATTTAAAATCTTAATCTCTTATAAATTTTAAAATTTATCTAATTTTTATTTATTTTTGTAATTTTTATTTTTAAAATTTTCTTTAATGGAATCCAAATAAAATTAAATATTTATAATATTAAAAATTATATGATTATGTTTACTCCAAACGAACAAGAGTAAAGTGAACTCACGCATAAATGTATTTATACTAAAATTACACGATTAATGGAAACACGCAGTGATGTCACGCATGCGTAATGTATTTATAAATATATTGTGTATTTATATTAAATGATATATGATTTATTAATTTTAAAATTTTAAAAACTATATTTTATATTATTTAATGGTTTAATAATTTAGTAGTCATGATAAATTTTGAAAAATAAATTAAATATGTTAAATAATTTATTAATTATATTTATGTATTGCACAAATTTATTTATTTATTTTATTAAATTATTTTATATAAAAATTTAAAATAATTTTTTGTTAAACTTTAATTAATGTTTACTAAAGATTTAATTCATATAGTATTTCACTATTTTTTAATATATTATTATTAAATATAATATTATTTTATTAAAATTAAATTATTCATACGACCACGAGTTAAATAATTTTTTAAAAAATTATAATTTATTTTTATATTTTTATTATTCTGAAAATAAATTAATTTATAAAACTGCATGCACATAAATTTATAATAATAAAATATATATTTTTATTATTTTTCATTTTAGTTATTTATTAATAGATAAAAGTAAATAAATAGATTTAAAATATTAGTTTAAAAAGAACATATAAATTAAGTTAAATATAAGTTAAATGTAAGTGACTTTTTTTGCAATTTGAAAAATTGCCATTTCGGTCTTCTTCCCAAACTCTTCTTATTCCCTCTATCACTCTAAGGCTTGTGTCGTTGCCCCAAAAATAAATAACAAAAACTCCAACATAGTCCTTTTTCTTCTTCTTCAGGGATCCGAATCCTTTGTAGTGTTGGCAGAAATTGCAGGAAGCGCAGTGCATTTTTGCTTAAGTGACAAAATTTACTTAAGCAGAATTGGTAGCAAATTCGCTTGAACATGGAACAAGGCTTAAACTAATGGAGAAAAGGCTTGACAGTGCGCTCAAGCGAGTCACAAGAAAGCAGAATCATTTCTCGCTTAAGTCTCTAATTTCCCTTAAGTGATTTTCATTTAGCTTAAGCCCTTCCAAGCGAAAACAATTAAACCTAAACGAAAATGGACTAGAGAGGCATGTATTTCAAACACTCTTTTAGCTTAAGCGGAACCTAAATCGCTTAAGCTATTATATATTCGCTTAAACCTTGACAAATGATTTTAATTAATATTAAGCAAATTTCAGAAAGAGAGCAATGATTTTAGGCATACAAAATGGCTTAAGTGAATTTGAATTAGCTTAAGTGAATAGTTACAGGGCTTGAGCCCAGATTTAAATTTCTCAGCGAATACAAATCCGGTTAAGCGAATATGTGCGCTTAAGTGAATATATTAGAATTTGAAAAATTTATGCAGACACAGACAATTAAAATCGCTTGTCAAGGCTTAAACAAATATATAATAGCTTAAGCGATTTAAGTTCCGCTTAAGCGAAAAGAGTACTTGAAATACATGTATCTCTGTTCCATTTTCGCTTAGGTTTAATTGTTTTCGCTTAGAAGGGTTTAAGCTAAATGAAAATTACTTAAGTGAAATTAGGGGCTTAAGCGAGATATGATTCTACTTTCTTGTGACTCGCTTGGACGCGCTGTCAAGCTATTTCTCCATTAGCTTAAGCCTTTTTTCATGCTCAAGCGAATTTGCTACTAATTTCACTTAAGCGAATTTTGTCGCTTAAGCAAAAACACATTGTACCTCCTGCAGTTCCCGCCAACACTGAAGAGGATCCAGATCCCTTCTTCAGTCGTACCACAAAAAGAATATGATATTTTCTTTGTTCTTGGTGTATGTTTTAGTAGCTTTTAGAGACGTGTCAGCTTTAGAATACCCATCTAGGGTGACTCCTTCCAATGCTAACACAAATGTGCCTTTGAAAATGCAAGTCATAAGTCTTCAATGATCTTAGGGACCAGTCCCAGGAAAATGACTTTTCCAACCAATATCTCCCATTCCCACATAAAACAATACTAGGGCAATGTTGTGGTTTCTTTGTATCAGCAGGGGTTGGTGTAGACTTGCATGATGTCTTGAAACCATTTGAATTATGAGTAATTTGCGTTTTGAGTCTTTTTTGAAGAATTTGTCTTCCCCTGCATAAACTAATTAACTGAATTCTAGACCAAGGGTGTGTGTGACCTTGTGTTTTCCACTAAACAATCCTGCACAATTGCTCCAAGTTAACGATATTTGATACTAACGTCATCGATCTACTTCTTGGAATCTTGGCTCAAAACTACACACGATTTGAAATGCATACTGCAACATCCTTGTCATTACTGTGCTTGCATCTTTGGGGGAATCTTTACAACCAAAGACAAAGGCCATTTTATTGAAGTTTGATTTTGGAAGGAAAGCGAGTCATTTCTATTTTTTTTAACTTTATAAATAAAATAATTAAATATAATAATAGATTAGTATAAATTTAATGTGTTAATATTTTATTTAATTTTATAAAGGGTTATATAATTCTCTTTATTTAAAAATAAAATATTCAAACCTCTAGTTTCTTTTTCTTCAAAATTTAATTTAAAAATATATCTTAAAAAGTTATTTGAAAGTGAAAATTTAAGGTAAAAGGAGAGAGTGATATTTTTTAGAGTTAAAATATTATTATTACTTAATTTTTTGTTTCATATTAGCTATATTTAGTAAAGATAACTTGTAACTTGTTTGAGAGCATGTAATTTATTGATGATTATCTTAAATTACTATAATGTGATAAGCAAAAATATTTAACTCTATAGAGTGTTCTATTATCTTTCTCGTTATTTTAAAAATTAGTACCAAAGTATATGTCTATTTATTTCATATGATTAAGTTGAAAATAGAAGAATTAGGCTACTTTTTTTCTCAATCTCTCTTAACTCATAATAGTTTATAATCAGGTTTACTTCTCCGTGCAAGATCTAACAAAAATACTTACAGAAATCTAATACATCTATCACTTAAATGTTGAAAGAGACTTATTTTAGAAACCTTTGACCAGATAGTACATAAATGCAATAAGTTTGAATGATTTAACAACCAAAGAGAGATTAACACTATTATGGCAAAAGATATAAATGAAAAAGTTCTCATAAGATCAACATTTTCCTTCTCAACTCTCTTCTATTTAATGGTTGAAGCTTATGTAATGAAAGAAGTTATTTTGTTAGTCATTAATCTTTGTTAGTCATATGTACTCTTTAAATATAATTGTTTAGATTTTGTTAAAGTCTATAGAAAGAAATATGATTGTTAAATTTTTAAATGAAGAGTGAGTGATATGTTAAGTTACAAAGTTAAATCCATAAATATAACTTTCTTAAACTAACAAAGAAAGTAATTAAGTTGTTTATCTAATAACATCTCTCAAATTAAGAAATACTTTGGATCAAAACTTAGTATTTTTATTTCATAAAATTTTATCTTAAATTATTATGATTGAACTAAAAGAATCCTCGGAAGAAAATAAGAATGTCTTTTTGATATCTTTGTTAAAATACTTTTTGTGAGAAGTTAGATCTTTTAATCTACTTAAGCCATATTTACTTCTTGTTTTTTTTATACTGCTTTTGTGTTTTTCTATCCTCTCTATTCTCTAAGTTAGTCCTCCGCCTAGTGGAGAATTTGAAATTTAAAGGAGCCGTTTGCTATTTGAATGCCATTTCTGTCTTCTTCTCAGTTCTTCTTACCCCCTCTCTCATTAAAAAAAAAAAAAACGTAACCCTTGTCTTCTTCTTCAGCCATGGCCGAAGCACGAGACCGTGCATTGCCCCTCCACGTGGCAACAACCTTCCCTCGCCGCCGCACTTCCTTCATCTACCTCGACCCCCTTCCAACCCCAGCCCCAAGAAACCCAATCGCGCGTCCACGCGCTCGCAATTCTCACTCGCTGGGCATGGAAAACACTCCCTTGGTAACACCAGGACGCGGAAGAGGTCGAGGCTTCGTCCTTCCATCTTGGTATCCCAGAACCCCTTTGCGTGATATCACTATCCTTTATCGGGTAAACATAACACTCTTTAGTTAACCCTTTCTCGTCTTAAATGGTCATTATGTTTTTAATAGTTATCTAATTTAAATCTTGTTGATGCTAATTGGATAGGGCTTTTTGTGTTTAGGCGATTGAGAGAAGTAGAGCGAGGTTGGGGGAGAATGAAGGCCAGCAAATTGGGGATTCGGATCAAGTGCTTCTTGATCCGTTTTCTGCGTCCCAAATTGAGCGTGATTCGTCCCAAGTTGAGAAAGGTTTTCGAGAAGAGTTGCAGAAGTTGAAGAGAACTCCGAGCGCCAAGAAAGGTGAAAGGGAAAAACGGGTGAGAACATTGATGTCCATGCGGTGATTGTTGGAGAAAAGAACACGATTGGGGAAGAGCTTAGGTCACAAATTGGGGATTCGGATCAAGTCCTTCCTGATCCGTTTTCTGCGTCTCAAATTGAGCATGACTCGTCTCAAGTTGAAAAGGGTTTTGGAGAAGAGTTGCATAAGTTGAAGAGAACTCCGAGCGCCAAGAAAGTTGAATGGGAAACACGGGGGAGAGCATGAGGTGATTGTAGAAGAAAAGAGGACGATTGGGGGAGAACGAAGGCCAACAAATTGGGATTCGGATCAGGTGCTTCCTGATCCACCTGATCCGTTTTCTGCGTCTCAAATTGAGCGTGATTCATCTGAAGTTGAGAAGGGTTTTCGAGAAGAGTTGCAGAAGTTGGAGAGCACTCCTAGCGCCAAGAAAGCTGAAAGGGAAAAACGGGTGAGAACATCAATGTCCATGCGGTGATTGTTGAAGAAAAGAACACGATTTGCGAAGAACGTAGGCCAGCAAATTGGGGATTCGGATCAAGTGCTTCTTGATCCGTTTTCTGCGTCTCAAATTGAGCGTGGTTCTTGTGCTTTGTCTCCGAACTCCGTTGGTGCCAAGGTTCGAACACCTGCAGGTTCGATTATTCTCGACATTGATAATTTGCCAGAAGGAGAATCAGAGATTCTAACGTCTCAGAAGAAGCTTCTCGACTCTATTGACAAAGTTGAATAAAAGTTTGTAGATTTCTCAGTATAAAAAAATTATTGTTTTGATTCCTTTTGTGAAGGGGCATTCTAACAATGTCAATTACAACCTGTGTCAAATGAAATTTCAATATGGTACCATAGTCCCTTTTCTCTTGAGCTTCCATTGTCAATACTTGTGTTTTAAATCTAGACTCTAAAATCTTTTGCTCCTCAGATGATGACAAATAATGTAGCTTTCGTTGCAGGATATCTTTGCCCACTGTACTCGCTTCTTACCTAAAAGAATCACTCGCTAGCTTGGCAAACTAACAAGAAGCCCATCTAGAAACGTAATAAAAATCATCGTGCCTTTCATCTTAAAAATAAAGTTGCTTGATGCTCTAAAAATTCCAAGATTTAACACTTTGATAATATCATTTAAAGACTTGTGGCTTAATTCTCTCAGTTTACCCTCAACATTGAGTTTTTAGCCCCAATAATACCCTAACATTATTGGGTAGGGATGCTAATGCTAGTGAGAATTTGTTGGTTCTCATCCTCGACTGAGACACTTAGGAAACCCAAATCATTCAAATGCTTTTTCCTTATTCTGGATTGCTTCATAGATCCATGATTTCATATCATCCTCTTCCTTTGATGCATAAGCAATTGCAAGTTTTCCTATGAACCAGAGTTCTAAAGGATAGAAGACCCTGAAGATGGTTCATTAAAAAAAGTCATGATATTGATAGAAATTAACAATTAACGAATAGGAAGATTTCATTGAAAATTGGAGACGTGAATATGACTTGGGTGGTGATGTTAACTAGGGGATAACCAGTTATTTTCAATAAGAATTGAATACGGGAAAATTGTTGGGGGGTAAAAGATATACTTTGTGGGTTATGAGTGTTGAATTCAAAAGGAAGAGATTCAAGATTGAAAATGATGAAAGGGGATTGGAGGATTTGAAGGGTATTTGATATAAAGTTCGAAGAAGGAGGAAGTTTAACATCATAGAAAACACATGAAAAAAAGAATGAGCATTGTGCAATAAGTCCACTTATACATATCATGTGTGAAATTAGAACTTTGTGGAAGTTATAAAATAAATAATTTTGTATTAACGAAGTTAAGATATTGATTTTAAAATATTTTAATTTTTTATAAACAATTTTATCACTCTGTCTGAGATGAAATTATTCATCCGTGAAGTAATTTAAACAAATTTCTAAAAAAATTGTTCCCATTGAAAGGCCTGCACCAAAGACAGAGACTTCCACGGCAGCTAATTCACTGGCTGCTAAAATGGTGTCGTTGCAACAATAGAGCCCCTCGATTTTTATATTCTGATCTCCAAAACTAAACTTGTCTATGCTGTATGACACGAGGTTTTAGAAACTGAACAACCTGATAGATAATTGAGTGGGTGATCGAATTAATTAATTAAAAGGTTTTATATATAATATAAATATATCATAATTTTTTTAGAGAAAATTAGTATTTTAAATATTTCTTAGTTATTTATGATTAAAACATTATTACACTGATCCAAATAATGGCAGTAGATGATAGTAAAATAAACTATTAAATTAGTAAATAAAAAGAACATAAAAATGAACAAAGTGGTTAAATATCATAAGAAAAATTAATTATATAAGATTACATGCATGTATTTTAATATTATATTGCAAAAAAAAATAAAAATGAAACACTACTAGCCAACAATTGTTTCAAGTAATATAAAAAAAATGACAAAAATGACAAATGACCTTTATAGTCCACATCTACCAAATAATATACCATTACCAGACAAAATCTCTTCAAGAAAAAGCCACAACAGCTTTTAAGTCAAGTGGTAAAACCAGCCTTAGATCTTTTATTTAACATATTCGTCAATACAACATGTAAGATTTGTAAAGTTAAGTTCTTTTAACATTGTAATTTTATATATTATAAATAAAGTAACACAAATGAGTTTATTTAATATCTAAAAGACTAAGATCATATTATGAAGTTATCCCATATGTAAGGTTTAAAATTTTTTATTTGATTGTTGGTAATAAATAAAAATTAATTTGATAAAAAAATATGTATATGTATTACCACCAATAAAATAAAGCAGACCGAAAGCCCAAACGATATACACAGATAATTATATGTTACGTTGTGGAAATTAACATTAACAAAAGAACTTGGAAATTTTTATCATTAAGTATGATGTCAAATATGTATATTATATTAAAAATACAAATTACAATAAAAGTGTTTAGTAAAGAATTCCAATATAATTATCTTAGATATATACTTTTAACACAAGTAACCTTGTTAATAAATATTCACAATTTACACTTTTTAAAAAAGAATTATATACACAACTTCACAATTCTATCATGATGAGGTTTTTTTGCCCGCTAAATTATCAACTTTGATTTTACTTTTTATTTTTTATATTAAAATCTCTATTTTGGTCTCAAATTTCTTTCATCAAATTAGTTATGCTTTGGTGAATAAAACAAGAAAGAGAAAAAACAGGAAGCATGCAAATAAAAGTGAAATTAGATAGAAATAAATATTATATTAATAGGTTAAAATAAAAAATAGTAAAAAAAATAAATAAGTTTTTGGTCTTTTTATTTATTTTTTCAGTAGATGAATTCAAGTTTGTGTATGCTATTGTTGATTTGACCATGATTTTTAGTTAATAAGTTATCATAACGTATCTTCGTGTTAAGTACAGTGAAATTTTAGAAGGGTTAATTTTATTTTGAATTATTAGTATCTTTTATAAAAAATAAATTTAATTAAATTTATAACATTTCTAATACGATTAGCAAAGTTTCAATAATTTTCTTTTGTTTTCTAAGATTACTGGCATTTAAGATTTTGTTTTAAAATAATTAAACATGTGCCGAAGTAACCCGATTAATAATGTTAAATTCAATAAAACTTACGCACAAACTATGATTTTAACAAAAATAAATAATCATCTACCATTTAAATTTATTAGAATAAAATTATTCTAATTAAAAATACAACGAGTGAGAGCTTTATAAGATGGATATAGCCATTGTAACGAGGAAAGCCCAAAAGCCCGAAAGAGTTACCAGTAATCCAAAGCCCAAATGAATTTCAAATATCAAAAAGAAAAAGGTGAGTTTGAATCTAAGTTACTCCCGCCCAGGGGGGAATTTGAAATTTAAACGAGCCGTTTTAGTTTGACACAGTTGCAGCCCCTTTTTGCCTTTTGAATGCCATTTCGGTCTTCTTCTCAGTTCTTCGTAGTCCCTCTCTCATTGCACAGATAAAAAAACAAAAACCCTAACATTCCTTTTTCTTCTTCTTCTTCAGCCATGCCCGAAGCACGAGACCGTGCATCGCCCCTCCACGTGGCAACCATCTTCGCTCGCCGCCGCGCTTCCTTCATCTACCTCGACCCCCCTCCAACCCCAGCCCCAAGAAACCCAATCGCGCGTCCACGCGCTCGCTATTCTCACGCGCCGGGCAGGGAAAACACTCCCTTGGTGACACCACGACGCGGAAGAGGTCGCGGCTCCGTCCTTCCATCTTGGTATCCCAGAACCCCTTTGCGTGACATCACTGTCCTTTCTCGGGTAAACATAACAAAACAAAACACTCTATTCTTTTTAATTAATTAACACTTTTTCATCTTAAACGGTAATGATCTTTTTAATCGATATTTAATGTAAATCCTGTTCATGCTAATTGGATAGGGCTTTTTTATGTTTAGGCGATTGAGAGAAGAAGAGCTAGGTTGGGGGAAAACGAAGGCCAGCAAATTGGGGATTCGGATCAAGTGCTTCCTGATCCGTTTTCTGCGTCTCAAATTGAGCGTGATTCTTCTGCTTTATCTCCGAATTCTGTTGGTGTTAAGCTTCGAACACCTGCAGGTTCCAAAGTTCCCAAGATTATTCTCGACATTGATAATTTGCCAGAAGGAGAATCGGAGATTCTAACTCCTCAGAAGAAGCTTCTCAACTCTATTGACAAAGTTGAGAAGGGTTTTCGAGAAGAGTTGCAAAAGTTGAAGAGAACTCCGAGCGCCAAGAAAGCTGAAAGGGAAAAACGGGTGAAAACATTGATGTCCATGCGGTGATTGTTGAAGAAAAGAACACGATTGGGTTTGGATATTGGATAAAGATAAATTGAAATTGGGAATTGACCCAGTGTGGTGCAAGATCATTACGTTTTTGACTCGGTTGATTCAGCAGAAGATAATTCTCTTCCAGTTTGCTTTGTTTATAGAGTAAAAAATGGAAGATAAAGAAACGTTAGTTCTTTATAGTTGGTCTAACTTCTTTGTTAGAAATTGTTTGTGCAGGGCTGTTATGTCTTTCCATCATTCTTTGATGGTTAGTTGTATTCGCTATTATTTTCTGCCCTTGTACATATTTCCCTTTTTTCGTTTTGGATTTCTCTACTTGAAGATTTTACTCTTGTACCGTTGCTTTCAATGTATCAGAAGAAGGATATTGCATCCGATTTCTTTCCATTGTTTGAAATCTCCTGTTTTTGTAATTTTCGATGTCTCTTTTCCACGTGTAGAACGATTTCTTATAACTCATTACTTGTCTACAGTTTATAATAAGGAAACGTGTTTATTTATGCAAATGGGAAGAAGGAATTTTGGAGTTTTTTATTTGTTTTCAGAGATCTCATTGGAAACAAAACATGCGCATCAATTTTGTTGATTATATAATAGTTAACAGCGACGGATGGATAAGAAGGAACCAAAAGGAAAGGGAAAATAACAGTAAGGCCGTAAAGTTTATCTGACTTATCACGCAGAGTAAATATTTTTATCTTAGATGTATTAATAAAGATAAGACATTATATTAAAATTATTTTTCATAAATAAAATTTTATTAATCTTTTAATGTTTTGTTCGAATAAAGGGGGAGGAGGTAGAAACGAAAGAAATAAAAAAGTAAAAGCTAGAGTAAAAAATAATAATAATTAGATGGGTTAAAATATGAAAAAACATAAAATTTTACTTATTTGAATAATATTTGCTAGCTCAACTTACTTTTCACTTAGAAGAATTTCTCAATTAATAATGGATCTATCCGAAGATATACTAAAAAATGACAGTTTTTTTATCTTTAAAATGAAATCGCTTGATGTTCTAAAAATCTTAATATCTGCATTTAGTGCTTTGATAATCTTATTTAAAGACTGACTTATAACTTAATTATTCTATTTTCAGGCTTCAACACTGAATTTTCTGCCTCAACAGTTAAGTACTATTATTGGATGGGTATGCTATTGCTTGTGAGAATCTATTGATTCTTATTCCTTAACTAAGAATTTTGGAAACTAAGGATATGTTTATTTACATTTTAAAAAAGACTTTTCTCATTTTAAAAAATAAAAATACATGTTTTTCGTTTTGAAAAAGAAAAAACTTTTTAAAAAAAAATGCAAAACATACTCTGAATCATTCAGGTGCTACTTCTTAGATTGTTTAGCAGATCCATGATTCAATATCACCCTCTTCTTCTACTCCATTAGCAATTGTAAGTTTTCTTATGAACTAAGATTCTAAAGCATAAAAGACCGTGAAGATGATTCATTCAATAAAGTAGTTTACGATAACGATTAACAGATAATAAATAGAAAAAAATTTATTGAAAATTGAATACTTGAATATGGTTAACGAACTTTCTGATGATCGAATGGGTGATCAAATTGGTTAATTAAAATATTTTGTATTGATATAACATATTATAACTTTTTACAGAGATATTTAATATTTTAAATATTTATTAATAATAAGATTAAAACATTATTACACAGACCCGAACAATGGTAGGGATGATAATATAATAAACTATTAAATTCATAAAGAAAAAAATCATAAAAAATGAGCACAATTTCTTAATACCATTAAAAAATTTAATAACAGAAAATTAAATACATTTATTTCAATGTTGCATATTACCCAAAAAAAAAAAAACTACTAGAGCAATTGTTTTGGATTGTATGAAATATTAGGAGTAAAATATCCGCATAAAATATTGTCTTAATTATGTTTTTAATTTGTAGTACTTTTTGAAATTAGTTTTTGATTTTTTTTGTTAAAATTTAATTCTCAATATTTTAAATCAATTAAAAATTAATATTTAATATTAATTAAGATTTTTAAGTAAGAATTTAGAGAATATTATCTTTATTTTTAATATCTTGTTATGTAAAAGTAATAATTACTTTATATGATTTACAGGGAATTATAATGCTACTAGTAGTACTTTATCATGTTGCTCACTTACGGGTCTTAAATCTTTACCATTGACAATTACTTTTATTATTAATAATACTCAATTACTTAACCCTCACCCATGGTTCTCATATCCTATTAAGGGTACCTCGCCAGCCTTACTATGTGTTCAATGAAAGTATTTTTATCCTTTGAAATAAAATACTGAATTCTTATTTTTTTCTTTTTAATTAATTTTTAACACATAATTACATTATGATTTTTTTAATACGTATTTAAAGTTATATAATAATAACAAGAACAATAATATGTAGTAAATTTTTTATTAAAAATTATAAAGTATCATAAAATTTAATGTACTAATAAAATTAAATAGCATGTTTGAATAAAGCATTAATATTTATTAATTTTTACTGTATACTCTTAGACACATATTAAAAAAAATTGATATATTATTTAATTCTTGTTAAAAAAAGGAAAATATTGCATGAAATTTATATAATTGAATATATATTAATTCGGCATTTTTCTCTTTAAGCAATTGAATAAATTTTTTAATTATTTTAATTTATATTAAATGATGATATTTTAACCAGTCAATTCTAAAATCAAATTTATTATTTAAACTATTTTTTAAAGTTTAAAGTTTCGAATGCCTTGTTTTATTTTTAATTCATATTTATTTATTTCCAAAAAAATTATTTATCCTCAAATACATTTTAAATAATATTTTTAAAATTAACTTGTATTTATAAATTTCCATATACTTGTGTGAGATACTTGTTCAGCTTTACAAATCAACATAATTAGTGTAGTTGTAAGTCATGCTTGGTCAAGAGTCAAAATTAACAAAAAGAAAAGTTTCCAAAAATTAAATTAAAATAACCAGTGAACTAGACCAATTAATAAAGATTAATTAGGCAAATAGAGGAAACTTTTAAAAATAATATTTTTCTTGCTTTATAATAAATTAACACAAAATTTACGATCAAATTACTTTAACTACTAAAATTGTAAAAAATAATTTTTATTTTTTTACAGTAATTTAATTATGTTGTAATTTGGTCGATATATAATATCATATATTCATTTTCTTTGATAAACAAAAAAATAAAAGATAAATTAGTATTTTTATTCTTTAAATTTCAGCTTAAAGGTTACTTGATTTTTCTTATTTTATTTTAATTCTTTAAATTTTAAAAACATTTGAAATAATAAGTTATTTTCTGTTAAAAATGTGAATTTTGAGTAATTTTTTTACCACGTGCTTATTCTTACATTGTTCGTTGTGTTATTTTTCAGTTCTTTTTGTATTGTTCATTATTTTCTTTTTTAAGCTCTGGTTTTGGCTTTTTCTTCATATTATTTTTTCACAGGGTCTGAGATATTCAATGCTGAGTCTAATAACAGATGAACATGGTATTCTGATTTTACATCGATCCATTCTTAAATGTTGGTTTTTAAAAAATTGCAATACATTAATCAATCTTTCCTTCAAATATCATGGCAAAAGCATATTTGAAGCATCTAAACTACTAGAAAATATTAGACTTTTCAACAGGAATAGAACCAACTTTGATTTAAGAATACTTAAAAAACTTACTCGATGCATAGAGTTGAGTAGAAATGCTACTTTAGGAGAATTGCTTGAGAATTACCTGGGAGAAACAACATGGAAGTTATTGTTATAAACTATAATGACAAAGTGGTGATGTAGTGAGATTTTAAAGAAGAATAATATTTACATAATAAAAATGAATTTCTCTGGAATTGGGAGCGGACGGAAATGGCGGATTGAGCTACACCGTATATATAAAATGAATTTTAAGAAACACATGAAAATTGAAAATTTGGGCTACGAAGAAATGTTTCTGTATAATGCATTAGCTGTTGATAAAAGGAAAAAAACAAAAAACGAGAGGAAAGGGAAACAACTTTTCTTTGTGCCTTTTTTAGGCAGATAAACTCGTTATTGGGTCAACATGCTAAATAATTTGTCATAGAATTTAACCCAAAAAGTAAAATTTGCGTAGACATTTAACAAAATGTGAGATGTTGAGCCCAATCAATGTCAAAAAGTGACAGCTCATTAAAATTTTTAACACTTAAAGAAAAAAATAAAATAGCAATATTGATTTGCTAATTTTCCTTCCCTGCCAAATTTGGATAGTTTTAAAGATTCTTTCTCATGTTATGTGTGCTTACAGTCTAGTTGGGTCGCCAAACAAAGGTAAACAAAAAGTACGGCTTAGATATGAATTTAGCAACCCCTAAACCCAGATTACATTTTCAACTGGTCCAATTCCTAAAAAGTTACATTCTAATTTTGCTAACCAGCTTTATTGTTTTATTGAAATAATTATATCTCTTGATCAATATTAGTAACTTTGACCTCACATCAGTAATTGATGTTATAATTATTAAACAAAATATACAGTTAATTTAACCTAAAAAAAGTGCTACAACATTACATAATAAAATCTAACTAAATGATATTTAAAATTGTCATATTTATTTAGATGACTGACTTTTTATATAAGTAAAAAAATACTTAAAAATGGAGCTGAATGTTGAACGAAATTCTAAAATTAAGAAATGTTGAAAAACTTCTCATACGTGGAATAGTCTATTTTTTGTTTAGTCTGCATTTTTTTAGAACTTTGGTTAGACAATAAAAGATGGTATAAGTACTAAATTTTAGTATGATAATTGGTATTCAAATGTTAGTTATTTGTTTAAATATATTATTAACTTTCTAACTTATATGAATCTAGATATATTTGTTGCTTTATTTTTTATTAACGGGGTCTGAAATTTAGAAAAGCTTGCTACTATCCTCTTTGAACATGTTTGTAGGATGATGGCTAAAATTAAACTTC